GAGTTTCTGTTTGTATCCATTATTGTCGCGATATATATTATTTTTCCCCGCGCTAACAATGGCCGCTCGCGCGAAAAAAAACATTTAAGGCGAAGTCGGATTTGCTGACACTATCAGCGTGCATTATCGGGATTTTGAGCACGCTTACGTATAATGAATTTGATTGCGCGACTCTGCTAGCTATGTTCTAACAGTGCTTAACGCTGAGAGGTAACATCAAGAGCAGACAGGATTTGAATTTTATTTGAATCATCGCTACAGATCGAGTCGGAAATGGTTAGGAATCTCTTTCAAGTAAGCGAAAGTAGAATTTTGTGGAAGAGTGATGGAAAATTAGATTTAAACACAGCATCATTGATATTTCCTGTCTTCGTCCATTTTAAATGTGCTTTTGGGCTGTGTTGAAAACAACTGGAATGCGCCAGTCACAGCTGTTGGGAACCAACCAAGCACAGCAGAACATCGCGTTTCATGAGTGACACGCGACCAGTCGAACTCATCGCCAAATAAAGATTAATAAGCAGTGTGCAGTCAAAACCACGATGTAGTAAAACACGTGGCTGCACCTTGAGACAAACGTTATTTACTTTATTGTTCTGGCTTTTAATTTCTCGTGTTTAAGCTGTAGTAATTTATTGTTTAGAATACTCACATCTTTACAAGAATTATTTGGAGAATTATATTCTCCGTCGAAAGCTATCTTTTACTAGAAAAATTGAGTTATTTTCGGAGAGATCTTTCTGTGACCTCTATGTGTGCTTCTTTTAGCTCCAGAGTAAACAGGTTGGACAATTCGACATTGCAGCGGAGGTGATCGTTTCTACACAACCCAACATTACTCCATTCTAAAGACTATTTAAACAATCTGAAAACTATACTGCTTTGAAACCCTTAAAACCACTGAAACTGTTCATAAAGAAATGTTCAGATAAAAATTTCAGCTAAATTTAAGGTGACTCAGAACGCGGTTTTGTTAAAAAACGGCTAAACTTTGGTTAAATAACCGACCCATAATTTTTCTTCGGTAGGTATTTTTTATAATTAAAATCGTGTTACTATGATATGTTGATGACATGTGAATGAGGGCGAAACAACGTCTTATCCATACATAATCAAGTTGCTATACGCTTTGGCATTACTGTCTCTGAAGACACTTGACAACTAAACGACAAAAACAAATAAATGAAGCGATTACGCTTGATATAAAAGACTGTTTGGCGCGAAAGACCTCTTCAAAAGCCGATCGCGCACTCTGTTAAGACTATTGTGAAAACATAATTTTGCCTTCACAAATAAACGAACGGACGGGGAACAACTCAATAAACTTCCTCTGGGAAAAGGATTTCCTGGAGGCACTCGCTGGCTGTGAGAAGGCCGGGATCTATAACGGCTGTTGACTATCCTTGAGACAATGACTAACAACTACAACACGGTTGGCTCCAACATAGATTTATTCTGTAAGCACTACTGAACTGATTTGGCCCTAACCTGGCCTGACCAAACTGAGTTTGTCCTGGCTAGAACTGGCTCGACCTGGTTTGACCCAAAGAAAACTCTAGAGAACAGCTCTATTTAAGCATAAGGCACAAAGGATTAGGTAATGCCACGATTTATTTAAAGATCGCTTAATCTACTACAACGATTGGCTAGGCAGGAGTTTCGCCTTTTACAAGATTAATCACTTTCGAAAAGCTTCCGGTGTATAAAAACTACTCAAAAGGCCATGATAGGTGACGGTTCCAGTTTAACACTAATTACAGTAATGATCTAATAACAACTGTTTACGGCTGAGCGACTGGGAGCTGGTAGCATTTACGCTTTGCTGAGCTAAGCAAGATCTCATAGTTTCTACATTGAATTTTACATATTTTTAGCACTAGCATAAAAACTTGATAGCTTAAAATCCTATTGTTACACTATCTTAAAACGTTGCCTCTAAAACATGTTATTACTATTTTCACCAAAATTTAAGTGGTGACAGTCGTATCAGTTTAATACGTTTTTCACTACCGTACATGTTTTCATGCCATCCTTTCACGATGACGGAATCTTCATTACTCTAGTGCAAAGGATTGAACACTGATTCCTGGACAGGAGCTCTCCATGTTTTAGCTTGTTCCCGGGTAGGGTTCGGTGAGTCTGAGGTACTGCGGACTAATGTGAATACTGTAGCATCTTTGTGCTGGGAAAATCAATTCAAGGCAAAGATCACGGGTTGACTCGGTTTGATAAAACACTTTCCAATTTAATTTATAACATAACCAAAGTAAAGCGCGCGCTCTGATTGGTCAATTTAGCGTCCCCCATTTGCCCATGGGTGTACGCTGCTGACGTGAGCAAATGCAAAGACTATTTTTCCGCGCGCGCTTGTTTTTTCTGGTCGCGTAAGATTTGTTAAATAAAAGGGAACTCTTTAGCTACAATGTATCAATGTTATGTTATAAAACAAATGGTAAACACCACAGCGTACACTATTGAGTTATGGATGCACTTGGGAGGTTTGCTAAGCACTCAAGAAGCTAGAGTCGCTCTCGGCTATCGCCTCGAGCGACTCTTACGCTTCTTTCGTGCTTAGCAACCTCCCGCGTGCATCCATAACTCAATAGTGTACGCTGTGGTGTTTACCATTTGTTAAAAAACACAACTGTAACGCTAAACATATTCAATCGAGGAGGAAATTTATTAAAAAGTGTTTATCATTCTGAAATGAGACAAAAACCAAAAGTTGAAAGAATTGAACTATATGCCTGGATGAGTAAGTGGGACGAATATTTTATTTTAAATTAAACTTTTTTGTAAAGGGAAGGGTTAGTCAGTAGCATAGTTTTTCCTGGTTTTCAAAATAAATTTTTAGTCCTTAAAAAGCATATTAAAAATGTACTTGTAGACTGTGAAGCAGTACCGTGTATTTTTTTAATGTATGATTTAAATTTACTTTTCTTATAGATAACAACAAGTATAGGGCATGCATCTTTGCTGATTAATAAGCACTTACATATAACCGGGGTATTACTCGTTCTCTTATTGGCCGATAGGTGAGTTAACATGAGAGTATGTAAACCTCCCTCGTGTTTAGATGTAATTACGTAAACAAGGAAGAAGTCCTCTGTTGCTTAAATCTCATTTAATTCTACATTTTCAAAGAAATGAAGATACTTTGCTGAATCCCAATGAGCGATGAACGACCGATGTTTATGAATTGGTTTGCTCTCAAAAATTTGGGAACAAGCCAAAACATAGACACAGGTGGTTAAGTGACAGCATCCTCTTTATCCTTTTATGACAAGTCTACTTGCCTGGTAAATTCTTCTATATATGATAAGATATGCAGTCGCTATGAACATGAAATATAGCGGTAATTAAAATACTCCTTCAAATGATTGCTATGGTTGTTTTAAGATTTAGAGCCTCGATTTTTATCTTCCAACAATAACTACATTCGTAGATACTTTGCTTGGATATCCAAGAGCATATTTCACGAATGGTGCTGCCACAGCATACACTATTGAGTTATGGATGCACGCAGGAGGTTGCCGCTTAGCAAACCTCCGAAGTGGATCCATAACTCAATAGTATACGCTATGGTGTGTACCATTTGTTTTATAACATAACATTGATACATTGTAGCAAAAGAGTTCTCTTTTACAAAAAGTATTTAACAAATCTTACGTGACCAAAAAAAAAAAAAAAGCGCGCGGAAAACTAGTCTATGCATTTGATCGCATCAGCAGCGTTCACCCATGGGCAAATGGTGGACACTGAATTGACCAATCAGAGCGCGCGCTTTACTTTGGTTATGTTACTGTTTAATTTTAAAGCCTTTTTGCGACACGGGTATTAAGACCAATGAATTAGATGAAACACATACTGGGCATACCTCTTGTGGCTGCCCCGTGGAGTGGTATGATGAAGAGCGATAATCCTTTGAAAACATGGACGGCAAGTTGAGAGTTATCCCTCTCTCCTTGACATCTATATAAAAATACATAAATTCAGCATTAAATTGAGGTTGGAAGAAAAGACAGATTTTCAGAGAACACTCTAATTCATCGGTGGGTAAGGTTTATGCGGATGAAAGAAAACAATGATAAATCTATTTAACAAAGCACATCGAAACACTCTACCCTTCAAGATTAAATTGATGGCCTTCTTGTTTCCAATAGCTCTCAAGCCTCCTAGAAGCTTCGCCACCGTTAATTGCCGATTGATGAGATCGCGGAGTAGTGTCCTGGCTGGGTTCCTGGTTCTTTCAGTCTTCATTACCTCATCGTCCGAATAAAGTCCGGGAAGCCCCTTCGTCATTAGAGCTTTGTAGTCAGTTCCCAGTCCATCCTCTAAGGTGGCACGAACTTGTTCGAATGTATCGTGGGAAAGATATTCAATCAGCATTATTACTCTCTAAAAAAAAGATTAAGAATAAAAAGTGACACTTACACAAGATTGCATCTACAAAAAGAATAAACAGAAGGATGAAATAGTGTTAAACCAGGAAGGGGGTAGGAGATGTTGAGAGGAAGGAAGGTAGGGAGAGAGAACTAAAAAAATTTTTAAATATCACTTTCTAAAAACAATGAAATTCCTGTTGAAAACATTTAGGGAGACTAAATCCCAATACCGTCTTATCAATTCGTATTTCCGAGTTCTTTTGAACTGATTTGCACCAAAAACTCTGCATTACTGAGAGTCCATTCCGGATTAGTGCTGATCACGTAACGAAGAACTCAGCCCTAAAGAAGCTTTGGTTTCAGGAAGCCTTTAGCGTACGTGTTATTCTCATGCTCGATCGCTACGATTTCACATTGCAATGATCTGACTGATGTCACGCCTTTAAAGCAACTCGGATTTACAGAGTCTGTTATCTACCCACTCATACTTTTTCATCTCTAAATATTCCAAAAGAACTGTTGACTCAACTGAACAAAGTCTAACAACACGTCCCTGTCAAGGCCTAGAACACAAAATGATTTGTTTTTGCCCTCGTCTTTTTTTCTCAACTAAGCGTTGGCGCTCAACTTAACAAATAGGGAAGACTCCATTTTATGGTTTATGAAAAACCCTGTCAAAAATAAAAACCTTTCTAACTCCCTACCCCCTCCCCCTCTACAACAATGTGGCTAACGGGATGTTACGGTTGGGTAGGCTCGCAAAACTTGCATCAGAGTTATTTTTTGCGTGAAAATAACCGAGCCCTTCGTGGATATCACGTTTCAGTTTTTTCATGATGCACATTTCTGTTTTTGTCGCTTGAAGGGGTTCTTCCTTCTTCTTTCTTGTTTTGCCACTCAAGGTTTTGTTCTTTACGATAAAATTTACATTTCAAGATTTATACGTATATTCGACTTCTTTTTCACTCGGGGATTCCCCTTTTAGAAAATTCGCGCACTAAGCACGTTTTTCAAGAACAAAACAAAATGTTGCGCTCTGTCTGGGCACGTTCCGAACTTTCAATTTACAACTTACAGTTTCTGAAGCAAAAAAAAAGAAAAACAAAACAATATCTGGCCTCGGTGTCATATAGCAGTTAGTTTGCCCAGAGTTTGCTACAACTAAAGAACACAAGGGTGTGTATAGAATAAATGTGAAATCAGTTGGGCTGTTACAAATTTACTGGTACAAACCTCAGCGAGTGCGAAGTTACCCTGATCCTCAGCTTCGAGACTTTGTGATGGTAGCTCCTCACTACAGTGCCTGAAAATGAAATCAAAAGACACGAAGAGGCCACTGGAAAATAGAGTCTGCTTAAGTATAAGGATTTAGATGGAAAATGAAATCAGCGGAACCTTTTGCACAAAAATTGATGATGAAGCGAATTTTCTAAACGATACAAATCACCAAATTAAGAGTCAGAGAACTGCAGGTCACGATTACTGCAAAATTTTACAATTCACTTATCGATAGAGAATCGAATTTTCGTCAAAAGCTCGGACCAGTTTGTGATCTAACTATGGCAACAACGGCGGACATTCAACATTAGTTACCCTGAAATAATTCGGCAGTCAAAACCATCTGGTACCGAGAATAACTGAATTTTGAAATAACTGTAATTTGGTGACATGATGAATATATTTGTTAAAGTGGTTTCGTAACCTGTTCTCTTAGAATACAAACTTACCTTTCCATTCCCAGCTTGGTTCTGAACTTGGGAGGGATTGCGTGGCGCTAACTATATACCGACCTAGGGGACTTTCCCTTTAACTACATCATTCCTATTTCAGTGCAGTTTCAAAAGTCAGCTGCATTTTAATGTTCACTCCTGCGTGTGGAATTTTCAAAGCGATGATGCGTGAAACAGTCATTTCTCGTGAGGTTAAGGTATGGTTATACAGAGGAATCTAAAAATAGAAGGTGCACATTGGTAATATGATCTTCAAGACGTCCAAATGATTGCAAATGATTAACCGATAAGTCATGTTCTTCGTAGTGGTAGTGTCAGTGCCGTCGACCTTGTTTCCAGGAGCGGCGAAATTTACTTCACTTTACTTTTACTTTAGCATTCTGCCGCGTGCAGACTCTTAAGGAGAGTTTGTTACCTTTCCTTGATCGTTGATGTCCCTTACGTTTGTGGGTCTCAATGTTGCCTGATAGCGCAGTGCCAGGGGACTTGGTGCTATGCTATTTTCTCCTGGTCAGTTATTATAGAAGCTCTGAGAAGGGACATTTCAGATGTCTTTCAAACTGAGTATGCTTAGCAGACTTTTGCAGTCGAGTTTTCATTTGAGTGACACTAAGATATTTCTGTGGTTAGACTGTGCTGATCAACTTCCGGCTTTGCCTATAATGAGACACGAGAAGGGGGCATATTTAAAGAAGAAAGTGAGTTGGGGTTGTACGCTGACGTAATATTGTCTCATATCCAAGATGGTGGAGATGGTGACAGAGATAGTGCATTTGATACGATAATTGAACTGGGTATACAGTTGTATTTGCTTCGATTTGATAGAGCAGCATGTAAATAAAAGGGGCATGTTTCTAAAGAAACTGTGGTGCTGCGTCGGTGGGGGTAACAGGTAATTTTTGACCAAGTTTGTTAGTGCAGGAGGTCATGAGTATATTTCCGTGCATACCTGCCTGGTCTGGTTAGAAAGAACTTTAAAACCATAGAAATAAATGAAACTAAAAGGACAGACGTCAGATTAATTTGTAGCCTGCGAAACAGAGGTTATTTTATAAAATATCGATTTTTCAGAGCTCGTTTTGAATCAATTTTCCAGTTATTTTCTAGCTCAGATGGAAATTTATAGGGAACATGTGTCATTCCACAGTCTGTTTTGAGCACATAAGCACACAAAATTTGCACAAAAGTGAAGAATAAGGGAAAGAATTATGAAACTACCTCATCCTTCACACTCAGAGAATGTTATTTTTCTTATCTTTGCGCAGGGCTTTCACCTGAAAATGTTGCATCTTTTTTTTTTCAATTAAACAGTGATTAACATAAATGGATAGCATAGATTTCACTGAGACAGTCATGAGCACTATGGAAAAATAAGGCCAATATTTTTGTTCATTTACCACTGATCAATAGCGTAGTTCTCAACAAGCAATAACACACTACAATTTTGAGGGCCTTTTTATCAAAAGAATTGATCTGTCTATACAATTAAGATAGGTGGAGGTTTAATTTAACATGAAATTGCCCACCTTATGGAACATAAAAGGGATATTCAAACATCTGTTGTTTTTATAAAAGCAAAATTGATAAAAGTTTTAAGTCCTCAAGGTACATGTAGTCTCTTGTATTATTTCAATCAAAGAATCCCTTGCATAATGAATTGTGGGTCCCACAGTAATCTGTAGGCAGTCAGAAACTGCACAGAAATCACTAACTGTTGTATATTTTTTTGTCCTTTCTAGAGTAACTGCCATGATAAAAGAGGTGTCCAAATCAAGCATAGATGGAGTGGTTGGAAAAGTAACAAAAGGAGGGAAACCTGCTAAAGTTAGCCACATAATCTAATGATTTTGTTGTTATGATTGGTAGAAATGGTTGCTTTTTCCAGTACTTTGCAATGTAGAAAGACAGAGAATTTAACAAAATCTTTTCCATACAAATTGAACATATTGTTCAAAATCCAAGTTCATCAATCAAGCAAAAAGATATCCAGCTAATGTGGAGAGATAATTGAAGACAAATGGAATTAAACTAAATTGCTCAAATTCACTTTTACCCTGGGTTATCTTTACCCACCTTTGAACAACCCAGCCCAAAAGACTTGGAACATCTCATGACAGGATATGACAAGAATCATAGTCAATAGAGGGGTGCCCTCTACTAACTATGCAAGAATATACTTGCACAAGGAGAAGAATTTGTACAATTTTGTGTTTAGTCTGTTGTATGTCAACCACCCCTTTTTCTTTCTTTATGAAAGGTTGACCTTTTTCTTTGGTGTCTTGCTTGAATAGTAAGTTGTTAATTAAATATATCTTATTATTAAAAACTGGATCATTGGATAATGCAATTCAAGACTTTTGATTGGCTTAGCCATTACGGTATATGAGCCAATATACCATAATCAACAAATATGGCAAGCGTATGCGTCAGCTTAAAATTAAAAGCGAGCTAAAAATTTGATAAAATTTAATCATTTAATTTAGCGTTTTTAATAAAACAATTATTCCACTCACTCTTGTTGGATATGAGATGATTATAGCCAACTCGGCGCTATGCGCCTCGTTGGCTATCTATCATCTCATATCCAATGCGCGCTCGTGGAATAATTGATAATTAGATGTTCTGGTGTGTGGTATCACTGAGTAGTTTTAGGAGTTGTGCCAGGGGAGTCAAAATACAAACAACAAACAAAAATACTAAGCAATACTACACAACTGCTTTTTTTCCAAGTGTTTTGCTCATAATTCATAAGGCGGGAAAATTAAAGTGGATAGAGAAGCGTAGTGCATACAGTCAACCAGTTTAACAGATTTTTTTACAACACAAAATAACCAACTGTTCAATGTCGTAGGATATTTGTACTCTATTTGCATGTTTTTTATATCCTTTTTTATGCAGTTGGGTAATAAACTTGAAAAGTGAAGAAATAACAGAAAACCTTGAATCTGGGCCATACAAATGTTTCCCTCCAAAATTTAACTTTGTGCCTTGTTTCGTCTTATTGTTTATCAAAACTAATAATCAGAACTGTCCCTATGTCACCTCTTTTTTAAAAATTTTGCTTTTAACTCTTTCTTCATATGTAATTGTGATTACAAATATTTTACTTGACCATGCAGATGAACACTGATGAAGTCTAGCATTGGACCAAGGAAACTTATCAACCGTGGTAATAAAGCAAAAGTGAGGGTTGCCCTTGATCAAAGTTAACTAAAGAGAGCAGATGACTGGGTAGAGTGTGTAAAAGCTTTATTTACCCATTTACGCTTTAAGCGCCTCCCGGTTAGCTCAATGGATAGAGCGCTGGACTGTTGTACGGGAGGTCGAGGGTTCGAGCCCCAGCCGGACCAACACTCAGAGTCTTAAAATAATTGAGAAGAATTTGCTACCTTTCTATAACATCAAGAAATGGTTAGATATTCTAGTCTTCTCGGATAGGGACGAATAAATGGAGGTCCCGTCTCCTGCAGGGTTGGGGTAGGAGGCGTTAATTTCCCACACACGAGATTACTGTGTGATGGATGTCCTCCCCTGGGGTGGGATTGGTGGGATATTGGGCGCACTTAATTTGGAGCCTTGCTCTGTTGTGCGACCCTCACCATACTCTGGTGAAAGTGATTAAATAATCCTAAGTTTGACTTCTTGCTGTATGCATGCACCGTGATGCTGTTCACTCATAAATCATGATGACCTCAAGCGGACTGCACTGATGGTAAAAAATGAAGAGAGAAAAATACAAAAAATTAATAAAGCATTGAAATGAAAAAATGGGAAAAGTAGCATGAAATTTACTCTTGGTATTGGATTTGCATGATATCACACGATTCGTTTTCTACGCGAATATCTGAAATGGCTCTGAAATTCTAAATTCTATAATGCAAATTTTCTTGGTTATTTGATATGAATCTGTTCAACTAGATTTACCTAATGGGTGAAAAACGTAGAAAAAACCCTACCTAATGACCGATTAAATGGAAGAATTTCAAACACTGAAAAACCTCTTTTTTTTTACTTTGGGATACCTATATGAAGCATCACTTTATAACCAATAATCAAAATCCTCAACACTATCGCCTTGTCGCTTTCAGTCCAGGTTGATATCTCTAACAATTCCTCAATGACTTCAGTCTTCAAAGAAGCAGTTGTTCATCTTGAAAAACATTTTAAGAGAAATATATTTATGAATTAGACAGAATTGTACTGAATAGTTCTCTCTAATGTTTTATTACATAAATAACTTGAAATAAAGCAGCATTAAAGAGATGAAAACAAAGCATAAACGACTTTCTTTGCGCCAAGATTTTTTCCTTCAATACTTTATCTCCCGACCCCCGACAATTTTCCTCACCACCCCCTCCTCGTCTTGAGGAAAGATTTTAATCCCAATAAAATATTCCAAAGATATATCTACACTGATCTGAAAAACGGTCTCCATTGCTGAGTTTTGGTGCTTGTATATATTGTAACTACGTTGATCTACCTCCAAAGAGCCTTGAAAATCGGGCTTCCTTTCACTGAGGCATTTAAGTCATGTGTGACTCTCTTTATTTCTGACGGAACTAACTGTCATGTCACGAGCACAGGAATGCGAAGGCATGGATTTATTTTAATCATTTGTTAATTCATGTTGTCCACATCTTCGTGCATTGGTTTTTTGACGAATTATCCTTAACGAAGAGCTCTTGAATCATCTACGAGACTTCTACAAAAATTAATCAGAACAATGTACATACTAATCTTTTGATTTCTGAGTTCGGCTTGGTCCCACGATGTTCAAATATCAGTCTTATATGAGAATCAAAACCTTTCATTGCGTGTGTATTGTAAAATGGAAGAACTTCCAGAAACAATCTCAACATTTTCAGAAGAAATTTTGTCTTGGTCTCCCTCATGGAAAGGATTAAGATTCTAAGACTAGGTTTACACTAGAGGAAATTGTTCCGGATTCGTGATGAATCCGAAACGTTTTGGTAACGGATTGGTTTTGCCGTTTACACGAAAGTGGACGAATTCGAAATAAAAACTCTCCGGTTTGGTTGTGTCTCCGGAGATTTTGAATCCGGAATTTAAAGTGGGAACTTTGAATCCGATAACTTTTGAATCCGGAAAGTTTGGTCTTATAACCGCCTTTTTTCTCGAATCCGGATATTATTTCCGCCTGCAATCTTTTGAGTTTGCGGTGAAATCAAAATGGAGGATCCGGTGCTAACATTGCTGGCGGTCCCCGATTGCCTAATCTTGTTGCAGGTTCAGGCGATGAATTTTATCATGTGTACCGCAGTATTTCTGAGGAAACGCAAGTTATTATTGCAAGGAAGTTTAACGTCAGCCACACTTAATCGCCGACGACGTAGATGGCTCGGCATCTGTCCAACTCAAATTTGCCTCAGTGGCATCTGGATCTACTCTTACTTAGTAGAGGGGAACTGGTTATGAAACCCGGCAAACTTCAAAAGGCCGGCCTATTGTTTCGCTTTTGAGGTTGAACGGGTCCATCACGTGATCGTGACCCTGCACATCATAAAGCAATATGGCGGACGAGACAGACGCGGTGCTCATGTTTGGTGATGATTTAGAAGCTATTTTGGATGTTTTAGAAGAAGATGAGAGAATACATGAGTGTGAGAAAAGCTACAAAACCAAAGGTGGATATGAGACCCAGGACCGCAAAACATGGGAACACCGAAAGTGAGTCCACTACACTGTTCACAACCAGCCTTCTCGCCGAGATGGAGTTTTAAAGAAAGGAAGGTGTTCAATTTAAGCATTAAGAATGAGCTGACTGTATTCATATTTGAATTAGAGGAAAGATCTGATGAATTCTTTTATCTCAAAACAATCTATGAATTACTAAGAAAGAAAGGAGATGTTGAAAAGTTTTATTCTAATTTTTATGGAACTGTTGCATTGAATGCCACCAAGTACTTCAAAGGACTCACACGAAATGCAGCAACATTGTTGGCAACCAAGGTGGCAGACACTATGATAGCAAACTCCAAAAAACAGAAGTTATCTTCTATTAAGCAATGAGTCCATCCATGAATTGACATACAAACAAAAGGCTGGGCTACAATAAGTGAGCGGTTATGTATTGCAAAACCTGCACAAGAAATATTGTAAAGTTAACTCTATTGAAAGCCAACAAGCGATGACCATCCTTTAGGCTGGAAAACTGGATAGCATTTTGAATTCTGCATAATTATGTGGTGGCGGCCAAGAGGGCTAATTAACCATATAAAAGAATAATAAAAACTGTTACCATTTTGGAATAAGGTGGACAATAGTTGTGAAAATGAGACTGTTTTTAGCATATTTATTTTGATAAAAATGCAATTTACCTTTTTCTACATTGCAATTAGAGCTTTGAAGGGAAATGTTATCTGCCAAATATGGTTTAAATGGACCTATTAAGCGAATTTAGTCAACTGGTGAGGTTCCTCCTCCTGCGTGCGCAGTAAGGATGTGCAGAAACAACTAGTGTGAACGTCCTTCAGTATCATGCCTCCACTATCATTGTTTTTATTAAAGTGAAAAAATGATAAAATAATTAAAGAATATTTCAAATGAATAAAGGCTGATAGTTTCGAAAGAAACTGTTTGGGGCTGCGTCGGTGGGAGTAACGAAATAATTTGGATATATCAACAAAGTTGAAATGATAAATCGGCCACCGTAACGATTATCATTCGCTCCGACGAAGAGCTAACGCTCGAAACGTCAGCTTTTGTAATCGTTACGGTGGCCAATTTATCATTTCAACTCTGTTGATATATCCAAATTACAAAGAATATTTCAGCACAGTTCGTAACATTTCTTATAAAAGCTTAACATTTTAAATCACAAAAATGTTCATAGTGTGTTCCTGTCATTCTCTATGTTAAATTATTATTGTCTGTATTGAATTATCTTAACCTCATATCTTACTTATCTTACATTATATCTTATCTTATCTTACAAACAGTCCTTCGCTCTCCAGTAACCCTTGTGTGGGAACTGCTCATTACTATCCAAATCCAAATCTGGGTTCAATGGAACGACATGATGGTAAAGTTTACTTGTCATCTCAGAAGGATTCACTCCATCACAGACTGTATATGCTTCCATCTTTAACAAGCATAGACAGTGTTACATTTTGCATTGAACGTTGGTATTTCAAGTACAGTTCACGGACATCCACAAGAAATGACCCAAACATTTTCACCGTAAACCCAAGACTATTATCAATGCAAATCTCTAGTTTTGGCAGAAGAAATTGCTCTAGTTCTTTTCGAATAACAAGTCGATCAGAAAATGTCTTGTAGCTCCACTCATTCAAGCTTTTTAGAGACTTCATTTTTTGACAAAGTTCACTGAATGTCTTGTAGTACACACTTCTACTTCTGCTGCTACATGTACTGATACTCGAGACGTTCAAAGGCACTGATCGAGCCGGTCTTGCCGCTGGTTTCTCCGTTACGTGCCGACTCTTTTTGGGCATATTCAATGTCGGTAATGCACCAAATCCCGGCTTTTTCTCGGTCATTTTCGCAGAGGTAACTATAAATAGAAAAATAAGGCCCTCTTAAGGCAGAGATACTTTCTAATTTTAAGTTCAAGCAAACCAAAATCAGAGTACACGTGCACTGCAGTGTGTGAAAAAGCAAAAATCGAACGACTTATACGTATCATACTTACATATTTCAATATCTTCAGGAGCAAAATGCTTCTCACATGTGTAGACTCGGTCATACTTTATTAGTTCTCTGAAATTCCGGTCCATTTCCCTTGTCCCCTTGATCTCTCCGAGCTACTCTTCCCCTCATTTTTCATGCGCTTCGTCCTTCGCCAATGGCAACTTCCAAATGCCAATTCCTTTTGTCCTTCGGCAAGATCCACAGCCAAATACGGCACAATTCTCTCCAGGCATAATTCTTCTTTACATTTATTATCTTTGCATATTAAAAGGACAGACATAAGTAGCTGGAAACTAGTAAATAGAGCACGTCTCACGTCTTGATTACAGTGGAGACGCCATTTTGTTTATCTGCGTCCAGGGTCATGATCACGTGACGACGCAAAAACCATAACAAAGAGTTGTTTCTCTGAAGTTTGCCGGGTTTCATAACCAGCTCCCCTCTACTAACTATGCTGGAGTTTATAACATCGATCCTGATGGTTTGGGTGAATTTGAAGTCTTCTGTGATCAGGCGACGGCTGGAGGAAGATGGAAGGTATTTCAAAAGAGATTTGACAGCGCTGTGGATTTCTTCCTTACTTGTAATTAATACAAACAGGGCTTCGGCAATCTGAACGGCGAGTCNAGGCAACAGCCGTTGGGTACTTCTAAGGCAACAGCCG